ATAAATGATGGACTTTCATTAAAAACACAATCAACACATAACACAACCAAAGCAGTCGAAGTCGATGGCCAAATGGCCGAGATAAAAGGACATCCCAAAAGAAGCCTAAATAACACAATACACTCACATGATAGAATATTGTCTTTTCTTATTTTTTCCACATTAGAATTAGGTTTTGGTATAATTAAGGTTAAATCGAAAAATTAAGCTGAATCATGCAATCTCATGTGGTTTGAATCAGTTATTTTAGTGTAGGAAGTGCTTAATGTAGTTATGATTCAATTTTTATTGCATTAGGGTGAAGTTCGGTTATTATTTTTATAGAATCTCGATTTTGATTTTGTCGATTCGGTGCATAAACTTTGAGCAAACTTTATTCCATTCAACTATAGATTTCTTTTTGTATTCACAATTACAAAGTTTTATTTGTAAATTACAAGTATACTATATTTTAGTATTTATAAATAGTTGATTTATGATTAAATTTTTCATTTTTTCTAATTTGTTTTTTAATTTATGACTTGTTTATGAATGGTTCAAATACAACTTTATTTTTAGTGTGGTAATTTACAAAAATTAAATAGAATAAAAGGTGCATAAACATGGAACCAAGAAAAATATGGTCCCTTTTCTCATTTGATGGTGCATAAAATCTGTTAGTGAAAACTTACATAAATTAATGAAAAATGCTACAAGTACATAATAAATGTACACAGAGATGTACATAGAGTGGAGTTCACTTAATTCTTTATTTTTTGGTAGGACCTACCTCATGTGAGTATTATGTACGTACACTATTATGTACCTATAGCATTGCTCTAAATTAATTATCCTCTAAATGCTGTTCCTTTTTTCCCTTTAGTGAAATAAACATTTTCCAATAACATTTAAATGAAGATTGTATTGATTAATTTAATTATGAGAAATTCTTACACTGAAAAGAGTGGAGAGTGCATACACGAGTGACAACTGACAAAAGGCAGGAAAACCCAGAAAAACAAAAAGAAATGAGGCCACAAATAGTGCTGTTTGGGGACTCACTAACACAAAGATCATTCGAATCAGGGGCTTGGGGTGCTGCAATTGCTGATATTTACTCAAGAAAGGTCTCCTTTTTTTCTTTTTTTCCAAAATTCTATGTTTATGAGCAGATCTTGATCTGGGCCACCTTGAATCTGTACGAAACCTTACAGATCTTGGTATTTTTCAGGTTGATGTTGTGCTCCGAGGTTATGGTGGGTATAATACCAAATGGGCTCTGTTCTTGTTGCATCACATTTTTCCTCTGGTAAATGTTGATTGATTCTTAAAAGGGCTTCTATTGACTGTTGTTCGCTTAAAAAAAATAAAAATAAAAATTATGGGGTAAATTTGTCTGCTTGTGTTGTTTTGGCTTTCTGTTTGGATCTAGTTATTGGGTGGCTTTAATATCACATCATGTATATGCATTTGGTCTACCTGTGTGAGGGGATTTTTGTTCTATTATTATTTACAATTCTTCACAGATTCTGGTGTGATGCATTTTTAACAAAAATTCATATTTAAGCTATGCAATGCCATACTTTTGTTTATGTTGTTTAATACAGTATGTTATTTCACTTCGGAAGTATGTATATCAATTGAAAAATGTATGGTAACCGTTAGGCTTCTGTTAATTATTTTTCATGAATCTGGATTTTTATGGGCTCCAAAGCTATATCTAGTAAATTTTCTCAGGTCTTATACTTTTCTGGGGGATCACATTTTTCTTGCCAAAATATGACAAATGTTACATCTTTTGGTCCACAGTTATGACTCTTATGTAGTATGAACTGTTTCACTAGAATGTCTTGAAATTGAGAAAATAATTCTTCCCCTCATTGTTAAATGAGTATTCATGAACTCATATTCTTTGACCTCAATTCTACAGAGGTTTACGTGGTGTCAATTGGTTCTAAAGGAGCATTTGAACTCTGAAAATACTTTGTGTTCTTTCGAACTGTATTAAAATGTTACGCAAATACTCCTTTATTACTAGTTTTTGTCCCGTGCATTTGCACGGAAAACTATATGATACATGAAAAAATAATAAAAATTATAAACAATAGTAAAAATCATAACAAATTCACTGAAAAACATTAAGAAAAAAAATATAAATATTCTTAAACACTTCTTTATAAAACAACGTCGTGGTTTTTCTATCGTCAAAATCTCCCTCAGCTCAAATCAAACTCTTCAAACCCCACTGACTCGTAACTCTAAAAAGCGCCACGTATAATTGCTCATGACTAAATGCAGAGCTCTTCAGTAGTAAGCCGACGTGCGACAGAGATGTCTTTGACTCTTATTGATCATGTCATAGCATAGGAAACACTTCTTTATATTGTTTGTCCTCGACTCTTATTGATTGATAGAGATTGTCTTTGCTTCTTAATAAAAAAAATACCATCTTAATATAAATGAGTAAATATAATATTAATTTTTTATATAAACAAAAAATTTAAAGTAATTGATAATGAGTATAGAATTACCCTTGCGGATTCAAGTTATTTCAACAATGTTCTTTTTATATATCTAAGATTTAATTTTTTTCTGATTTATATGAATATAAGCACATTTGACTAATTTTTATAAAATTTATTGAAAAAAGTTACTATTTTTTTGAAAAACTGATAAGATATTAAGATAATACTGTACTTAACATAAATGTGGGATTAATTAAAATAAATCTTTTTAATTTAGTCATTAACTAATTAAATTTAACTATAAAAAACCTTCTTAAATGTGAGATTAATGAGTAATTAATTAAAAAAAATGTAACTCCTTTTGGAGGGAAAGTGAAAATATTTTTATTAAATGTTTTATTAAATGGGATTAGCTAGCAATTATATATATATAGATGTCAAACATACAGAAAAATTAATCACCAAGTTCTAATGAGAAAATATGGTATTTTCATCACTCATTGGTGTTCTTTTTTCCTATTTTGTATTTGTATTGTATGGTTACTATCTCTCGAATTCAGGTGTCTTCAACTCCTCCTATTGCCGTTACTATATTTTTCGGGGCTAATGATGCTGCTCTATTAAGTGGCACCGGCAGAAAGCAGCATGTGCCGATTGAAGAATATAAAGAAAACTTGAGAAAAACGGTCCGCCACATTAAGGTGTTTATGTACTTCTTTTTGCTTTTTTGTTTTTTCTCATGCAAATGAAGCTTGTAACATTTATATTTGTTTGCATTTTATCATCATTAGTTACTAAGAAACTATGAATGATTGATCTTTTAGTTTTACGACCATTTTCCATTACAACATTGTTTAATTTTTTAATTTTTTTTTTCCGCAGAATTTGTCCAAAGACACGCTTGTTGTGCTTATAACTCCACCTCCTGTTGATGAGCAAGGGCGTCGAGAATTTGCAAGGTAGTTACATTTTTTTTTTCTTCTTTAAACTTCAGACAATGAAGGTAGTTTCTCAAGTTCCACTCGAAAGATGTTATTTTATTATTCTTTTTTCTTTTTGATTTTTTCACATAACTATGAAAAAACCCAGCTATCGTTCAATACTACAATTAGCCAACAACTCTCATTACTGTACCCTTAAGAGGGATCATTCTGTATTTTTAGCAGAAAGGTGGGATATTTTGCAATAAGCCGAAATCGAAGGCTAATCAACCTTAAATTTCAAGTTCCTACAATGCACTTAGATTGATATTTTCATTCTCGAGCAGGTCTTTATACGGGGATAAGGCCTCTGAAGTACACGATCGAACGAATGAAGTGACTGGAAAATACGCAAACAAGTGTGTCGATTTAGCCAATGAACTCGGCCTTCCCTCAGTCAATCTATGGTCCAAAATGCAGGAAATCGATGGCTGGGAGAAAAAGTTCTTGAGGTTTGTGTAACTTTTTTGGACCTTTTGGTTATATTTTTAACAACTATCTTTGGGTTTGGGTTTGTTTAATTCATAAAAAAAATGCTCGATTTTCTTTCCGAAATTCGAAATGACCCTTTTCTTGAAGCGCCTGATTTTGAACCACACCTCGTATTTTTCCCCTAATTAGTTCAAATTTATGTTCCTATATTTTTTTGCTACCTATTTCTGTTTGAGCTGAGGGGCATGAAAAAAATTATCAGGAGTTTTCGAACTCTCATTTCTCATTTCTGTGGATTTTTTTTTTCTTTAGTGATGGCTTGCACTTGACGCCCGAAGGAAATGCGGTCGTTTTTCGAGAGGTACGGAAAATATTCGATGAAGCCGGGTTTTCGAGTCTTCCCTATGATTTCCCTCCACATTCGGAAATCGACGGGGAAAATCCTGAAAAGACATTTTTGCAACAGTGTTCTTCTGTGTGATGTAACTTGGCTGAAAATTGAAATTCTTCATTTAAAACCAAGTGCCTGGACTCTATATATATATATATTTGGCAAAAGATTTGTCTATATATATATATATATTATATTGCTTTTTCTCGTTACATTTTGCATTAATCAAGTAGCTATATTTTATTTATTTATTTTATTACATAATAACTACTACTAACTAATCATAGTCACATTAAATGATATTTTATTATATTTTCTTCTTAAAATAATTATTTCTTTTTTTTTTTCAGCTCATTAAACTATTTTTTTTTATTAAAATTAGTCAAGTATTTTTATGGCATAACCAAACTCCTTAAAATTCCTACACCATTGCTTTAATAATAATTTAAATCCTATTTTATCTACTTAATTGGTCATTATGAGCCAAAACTGCAAAATTTATATTATTGCAATGAATATAAAAATTAATATATGCATAGTTTATATTTGTATCTATATTGTTCATTTTCAAACTATATGGTTCAAATGAGAACCAAATCCTAGCGTGAGAACCGCTATTTTTAATTGTATCTAGAGCTATGACTGATTGTATTTTAGTGTTATTTTTAATCAGGATGTATTTTATTAAAAATAGCAATACAATTTATGTTAGCATTTGTAGAAATGATAGCACCATGTAGGATTAAAAATAACATCATATACAATTGAAAATAGCATCAAATATGGTTCTCACGGTCGGTTCTCACACCAGGATTAATTTTTATTTGAACCAACCCATATATATATATGTGTGTGTGTGTGCACATGATCGAATACAAGTATATTAATATAAGTAATTAATTTCTAATTTTTTTTTGCAATAAATTTTGGCATTAATCACTTCCTTAAAGAGCACCGAGTAATTCTGAATTTAATGTAGAAGAATGTGAGGGACAACCTCAAAACATTTTAGTTACAAATGTGAGTGCTATTTGACCAACCAAATTTAATACAACCCACCTCATATTTGAGCTCGATTAATTAAAATATAAAAGGATATTACTATGAAGTTATCGAGCTATTCAATTTTTGGTTCACACTAAATGGTTCACTAATGACAATTATAAAATTTTAACATAAAATTTAAACCTAATTGAAATAATTTTCAAAGATATAAATGAAATAAAATGATTACAATAATTTTCAAATATTAGATAAATGTATTTGCATACGATTTTGAAAATGTACATATATCATCCATTTTGATTATCATAGGCGGATTAAACAAATTCTAAAGTTGTACCATATTTTTTTCTGTTAGTCAAATGTCAATATTACTAAATAAATGTCTTACTTTTAAAGCGAATATCAATTGCCAACATTTTAATTTTGTTGACTACCAAATGAAGTGATAAAAACAATCTATCATTATATAAAAAGAATAATTTTTTTATAAATTTAACAATTTTTTTCCGCCAAAATTATTAAATATATCTTAAATATAGTAATTGTTAACGTAAAAAATATAATAACAATGGTGTGTAATCAATTTTTTTTTAAATGGAAGTAACGCCATAAATTCGGTATTATCTAACATAATGTCTTTATTAAATTATGCTCATAATATTTTAGATACTTTAAACATAATTGTTTAAACATTTTTTCTTACGTCTATATATGCATATACACATACATTATTAAGTATTATTAATCCTCCCCTTTAATTTATAATTATTTTTTCTTCCTCTTTTTAAATAAGATCAATAGTAGTTTCCACTTCTGCCATTGAGTGACTCAAACTCGAAGTCTATTTATAATATTGTTAATTTAATATTGTTCTCGTGCATCGCACGGTACACACTAGTTTAAATAGTAGTTTAAAGCACCAACAAGATCATTTCATAAATCCTACGCGAATAAGATAGCCCTAATAGACAAACTAAAATGTATAAATATATTTTAGAATAACATATTTTTGTTTATTTTTTTTTTCTTCTGAAGTATGACATTATGTAACGAAAGTATAAACATTTATGAAAAATAGTTTGGCAATCTGACTAACGTAAATCTTATATTTAAAAAGAGATAGTAGTCAAATAAATAATTGAAGCTAAAATTAAATCCTCAAAAAATTTGTACCAAAATATAAAATTGGAATTTTCATAAACTTACACTAGATTACACATATCTTGAGAACAAGTACGTTAACATGGTCAATACAATAACTGAAAAAAATCTGTTCAAATTTGGTAAATACATTCTATTTTTTCTTAGATTATATTGAATACACGCATTAAATGCCTCTTTACATCTCAATAAATATAAATGTAACAGAAATGGTAAAGACTTTCAGACAAAGATTTTTTTTATGCTTTCCATCTTCTTCCTTGTCTTGCTCCTATGGAGCCTGCAACAAATTTTGATCAAATTTACCAAAATGCCCTTCCACCGGCATTCAAGCTCGAAAAACTTGATGAATTTTCCATGGACAAAAACACTTATTATCTCCAAGATTTTCACCACCTTGATCACCAGTTCCATTTACCATATTATTCTTCGTCGATTTTTAATCCGAGTGCCGATGTACAATCCAACGGCTCAGATCCTTTCTACCCCTCGTTCACCGACTCGTGTTCGTTTTACGAGTTTTCGGACTTCAAACCTTACGAGGAAAAGGGCATTCATAGTAATTTTTCGGCCGCCATGCAGAGTTTTCAAGAATGCGACGAGTATTCGAATAATCATCTGAATCCGAAAGATTTTTTAACCAAAATCGAGCCCTTAAGGATGGTTTTTCCGCACGACGATAGCTCATGCGTTACAGCCGATAATAATAATAATAATGTCACCTGCTTTTGCAAAGAGAACGACGAAAAGTATAGTAAAAATTTGAAAAATATGAAAAGTAGTAACAAAAATCATCAATCGGTCTCGACTAAAAGGCTCGGTTTCATCAAGAACAAGTCGAAGCCGAGCAAGGGGCAGTGGACAGTTGAAGAGGATAGGTGAGAACCATTTTTACTTTCAAGAAAATGCATTGCTTTCGATTTTTTGTTGTTCGACCGGTTTCTTTTAACTTTTTTTTTTTCAGGATTTTGATCCATTTGGTGGAGAAATATGGAGTTAGAAAGTGGTCGCGTATAGCGCAAATGCTCAAGGGGAGGATAGGGAAGCAATGCAGAGAGAGATGGCATAATCATCTAAGGCCTGATATCAAAGTTAGATTTCTAATGACTTTCCTAATTCTTACATTTTTCTTGTTAATTTTTGTGTGTACTTGTGTGTTAGTATTGTGTCTTATAAATACGAGTTGATCTACTTTGTCATACTTGTTTGACCGACTGACTTAACGAATCATGTGTTGACAGAATATGGATTGTTGATTTTGGTAATATTAGAATCTGTAAATGAGTTTAGCACGACTCTAAAACTAAAAGATCTCATGTTTCTTTCCTAGCTCAAGCTTAGCCATTTTCATAATGTAGATCGATTAAATCCCTTTTTGCTTGCTAATTTTGGATAGAATGATGCAGATAGGTGTTTTAATTCCAAGAAACAACCGATGGATTATATTGCTATAAAATATATGATGTTTTAAGTACGAGTCAATCCATAAATGACTCGTATTTATATCATGGCAAAATCTGAATTGTCGATTTTGATAAATATTATAATGAGAAGAGTATTAGAGTAATAGATGACTGCATGCGTATTTTCAAATGAATCACTCTTTAATTTCTTTTAAGATTCTTCTTTTTCCACATTCAGAAGGATCTATGGACGGAAGATGAAGACCGAGTTCTAATAGAAGCTCATGCAGAAGTTGGCAACAAATGGGCAGAAATCGCAAAAAGGCTTCTCGGGAGAACCGAAAACTCGATCAAGAATCATTGGAATGCCACCAAAAGACGACAACTCTCACGACGAAAATGCAGGACTAAATGGCCGAAACCGAGCTCTGTCCTCCAAAACTATATCAAGAGCCTACATTTAGAAAAAGAGGACATAAAAAGATCATCATTTAGAAATGAGGCTAATAATGCTTCGTCTGCAGAAGCTACTCAACCGGACGATATTTTCAAGAATTCTCAAAAGGAAGTGGCCTTAGTTAGCTCCGAACAAGTTTATGATTGTATGGTGTCGGGTTTCGAATTTGACGAGGTCCCGGATTTTGGTATTCACGGTTGTTATGATGAAAAGTTTGACTCGATCATAGATTTAGCACTCGAAGCGCCTCCATTGATGCATTATGAAGGGGAGGAGGAGGTAGATTTTTTCAATGGGGTGGAGGATATGGATGCATGGTAGTGTTTTTATATATTTTATTTTAATTTTTTGGAAGAGTATTTTATACAATTTGGGGTAAAATGTTTTAGCATGTTTTAAGTAATAATGGTTCATTCTTATGGGTCATTCTTTGTTTACTTTGCAACATGCTATTTTGTGTTGTCTTGATATTTCAATTTGAAAGTACGCATATCTTATCTACCAAAAAAAATATGACTTTCGTAATTTGCTGATTGTTGTTTAAGTAACACATGTGTATGAAATAAGAATATACTTAGAAGTAGTACATGTTTGAGTTGTAGACACAATATGGGTGGAGATGAGATAAATGGAATTTTCACATTAACTTCATTTATAAACACGACGAGGATGTTGATCATTGTTTTGTAGTTTCATTTATTTTCGGATAAATTTTTTTATTATTTTGCTTGTATGGTATTCGTTGCTCTATTGTTGCCTCTCTTAGCCGTTGACGAAGACTTCTAAGTTCTAATAAGATTCAAAAATTGACCTTCTAAGATTAAATAATGGAATAATACTATTTAAGGAAACAGTTAAAATAGCTAATCTTATTACTAAAGGTGTATTTGTTTGGGATATTGACTAATATTTAAAAAAGAAAATTAAATTTGAAAATTTTGAAGAATTTCAATTTTTCATTAATCGAAATCTTTGTAAATCTTATGTTTGAAGGTGGGAATTGGTGTGCGATTTTGCATATATATATTTTACTTCTTAAATATCAGTAAATATTAAAAAGTTTAGACAAATTCAAGTGATGAATAAATTAATAAATACCTCGTGACCTTTTAAGATTTTTCGAAATCTCAAATAAACATCTCAATACTTTTAAAAGTTTTAACGAGTCGAAATTAAAATATACCTAAATTTTTAAAATTACAAAAGTTCTTTAAAAAATTTCAAATGAACAAACCCCCAACTTTAAGGATATTCGGCTCATGAGCAAAGCCATTGTGTGACAAGCGCTCGTGCATTGAGCTCCTATAGTACAAAGACATCGAGCAAAGCCATTGTGTGACAAGCGCTCGTGCATTGAGCTCCTATAGTACAAAAGACATCGAAATTGTTAGGACTGACAACTCAAAATCCAGTTCTCCAACAAGCTTAATATACAAGCCCAAATGAGGTTTCATTCTAAAACCAATTGGTAATAGAAGGAGTACCCACCAAGCTTATATATTGAACTTGGAACCTTTAATTTTTCGATGTGGGATTGAGACCATAAACGAATAAACGAGATACTCTCTCGTAAAACACGCAAGACTCACAATCTCTAATCTTATTTCATATTCAAAATCAACTAATGAAAATAAACTAGAGAGAGTCCTTTATATAAGGTTCCTAACCCTAGACCTAACTTGTCCAACAAGACAAGAACTCTTATTAAATATTAAATAATTCCTAACTTATTCTCTAAGATATCTAATAATAATAATAATAATAATAATAATAATAATAATAATAGATATGTCTACACCACACACCCTACAGAAATCATCACGGCACGTACATTAGTCGCACATGGAAAGTTGTACTCATACTTGAGTTACGAATACAACTTTTAAAAATTTCCAATCCGGACGTTAATAGGTATGAATTTCAATGGATTGTGCTAGAACAAAATCCGAATCGAAAATGTACATGACAGGCAGGGACTTGATTTATAGAAGAAAACAATGTACAAAATAATGGCTAGCTTATATCAAAGTATAGTAAGGATTAAGAAGAGAGGACTTTAGAGTAAGTTTTTGGAAAAGAAGTGGATGAAAATGCAATTACTTGAAAATGTCAATTCTCTAGAATGACTCATTCATCCTCTTTTGAACAGTCATTGTCTAAAGAATGAAAGAAGAAGACTTGCTCAAAGTTGACTCATTTTTCCTTCATTCATACTTAAAGGGCCCCAATATTAAATTGCATTGAAGTTTCACGGTCTTCCATTGTAGTAGTAATGGTGGAAAATCCACACTGGGATGTGCGGTCAGCACAATTTGAACGAATGACATTTAGTCGTCTAAATACTCAACTCCGTACATTTACGAGTACACTTATTCTCCACATATCTTGACCAAGACTTGATCACCAGTCTTTCCTCCTTGTACATAACTGAGAAGAAAGTACACTAATTCTCCACATATCTTGCTCACAAGGGTCCAGAAAACAATTCCAATTTTATTTTATTTTTTATTTTTTTTTTGAAAAAAAAAAGACAACTCGACTCAGGTTTGAGCAAGTTCATGGCTGCAAACGACGACATATGCTACTTGTGCCCGTACGAGTGCTTGGTAAAATACACGTCTTTAAAAGTTGATAAAATCGTGCAAGACAGACTCGATTCACCCATGCCATGGGTCGGTGCCTACATTGCAGCAGCTTCAGCTGCATGTTCTTTAGCTATAGCAGCAGATTCTCTCAATGGCTTGCGTACCAAAAAATCATGGTTCCCGTGTAAGTACTTCTCTCTCAATGCTTTTACCTTGACTGTTTTGGCTGTAGCAATGAAGATTCCACTCGACATGACTACCACAATGCCTGGGAATTACGACAAACTCGCTCGTGTCAGCAGTTTGGTCCTTATGCCAACCGCCATGGCCAATTTCATGACCTCTTTCGGAACCATGGAGAATAACGAGATCGTTCTAAATTTGGCTGCCCTCGGCATTCTGGTGGCCACTGTCATGGGGAATGTCTTCATCCGATTCATCCCAACTCAAAGCTTTTGGAGTATGAAAGAAACTTGGGGAGAAGAAATCGGGTGCATAATTTGCATGCTCTTTTTACTCGTGGTATTATCCTCGTCTGCTTTGATGGTCCCGGCAGCAAAAAGATACATCGAGTGTCAGTACAATCAGAGGCACAAAACGATATTTTCGAACCACATTAATACGACGGGTCAACTGAGACTCGCGTTGACGAGGTGTTGGGTGATGTCCGAAAGTGGGAGCCCTCAGTTTTTGGTTGCGCGTTCGGTGACGAGCGTTAGTGCTGGACTGATATGTTTATTGATGGGCCTAACTCTATTACAAGCTCATATCAGGTACCCTCTAATGTACACCGAGAGACACAAATTGGGTTCTAAATATAAGTGGTCCATCGATTGGATTCTGTTTATTCAAACCGTTGGAGTGGCGTTGGGAATTATTGCCCCTTTACTGAGATGGTTCGATGCCGTTCGACACAAGAAGATGGCGAAGATTGGCTTCAGAGATGAACTCAAGGTCGAGGGCTATTGGACTAATACGCTGACGCATTACAGAGATAGCCCGTTGCCCTTGAAGACCGGATTTCACCTCAGGTTCAGAAAAACTCTCCACAATGCGAAAAGATTGCTTTTCAATCTCTGTATCAGAATTCAGATCCTTGTTGTTCTCGGCAGCAAACTGCTTCTACTCGTGTCCGCTGTCTTTATGCACTGCGTGATCTTTTCGCATAAATCATCAAGTGAAGAAGAACTTAATGATTTAAGCGATTATGTACTACGGCTCGAAGGTGAAGCAAGGCTGCATGAAAGAACAGTGAGAAACATATGCAGCGAGGTGCATAAGCTGATCCAAACAGGCAAAGGAAAGCAATATAACAACTTAATCAAGCTTCTTGAGAAATCCGTCAGCTTCAACGGCGTGAGAGAGTTCGACAGTCGTCAAAGAGTTCCAAGTTTAAATTCTCAAGAGCCACACAATTGTTGGTCTCTCACGGTCGTGACCCTGACAAGCATTGCTATTTCACTTCCAAACATACCGATTGACGAGTCCGATTCTTTACTAAGTGCTGTGACCGAAGGTCTTTACTTTGCAAATCTCATCGAGGAAGCTCTCGACTCGAAAAGAGAACTAACAAGCATTAGACATGCAGCTGACGTGGCATGGGTTGGAGTTGAACTGTACCGGAAATGGCACGGTGTAGATCTCCAGAAAGCAGCAGCAGCAGGCTCGACCCACAAAGAGACGTTGCAAAAACTCTCTGGAGTCGCTCAAAGGATGGTCACGAATTTCACTGCTAACCCGAATAATGATTTTCTAGTGCAGGACCCTCTCAACTGGCCAGTCAAGGTCATAGCTGCCAACTCAATGTACCGAGTAACTCAAACAATCTTGTCCTATCATAATGAAGATCATGAGGAGCTGTTGTTCGAGAGATTGTCTGTCATGATTTCAGACATTCTTTCAGCTTGTCTCGCTGCAAATCTGGCTCATGTCATAAGATTGAAGTGCTACACGAGTGAAATCAGAAAAAGGGAGGAAAGCATCCGCCAAGCGGCTCTGCTTTTAGGCGAAAGTGAAGAGATTCTCCAGATTCTCCAGAAGCGTGAGCTTCCGAGATTGGATCCCGAAAAAGCGGCTGACATTGAAGAGTGGAGGAGTTTAATGGAGCAAGATAATGAAAATCCAGAGGCGTCTGTCGCTAAAAAATTCTCGCAAACGAGTGGAGAGCATGTGTCAATCGAGCTGCAAGGCTAGCCAACTGCAAGAAGAATGCCGATA